ACGATAAGAAGTGTGACGTTATTCTGAATCCAATATAGCAGATTATCCAAGATGGCGGTATAGTTATTTTTGATGCACTTCTACAATATGGATACCCAAAGAAAAGACTCGTTGGGACAAATTCGAAAAATGATGTGACATCATTCAGAAACCAATATGGCGGACCATTCAAGATGGCAAAATAGTAACTTTTGATATACTTTCACAATATGGCTATCAAATAAACAGGCTCGTTGAGAGCAACTCGAAAAAGTATGTGACGTCATCCTTGATCCAATATGGTGGACTATCCAAGATGGCGAAAGAAATAGTTGTTGTTCATGCACTCCTGCAATAAAGGTATCAAATCAAACGGCATGCCGAGAATAATTGGAAATAGTGTGAGATCACTCTAGATCCAATATGGCGCGCACTAATGAAGTTCTTTGTGCTTTTCTATAAACTGAAAGGGATCACTGAGAATAAAAATGCAGGTTCAAATAATCGCGTTTTGAGCCTGTAACAACGATTGCTTGAGTTTGACTTGGGTAATTTGGCGACAAAAGTATAACATAAATTGAAAAAAACAGAAAAAGCTTATATTACAACGATTCAGAAAGGAGAAAATGGAACTGTCTTTTTGAATTTCAACTATCAACTTATAACCTCATCATACACAATTGATATAATCATAAGAGCTTGTCGCGATGATAAATATTCAATTGATTTGAAATTTTATAAATTCATAAATAGTGATTTAGATGTATTAATGAACTAATACTAATTCAATTATGTGAAATCTCCTGAGTTTTGATCTATGAAATTTCAAAGTTATTGAATATTGATCATCGTGACAAGCTTTCATGATCATATAGGGACAGATTACATAAACAAGCAAAGGCAATTAAATCCGAATCTCTCTGGGACGAGTATAAAATAGTCAGAAATCGTGTTACCACTTTGATCAGACATGAAACTAGAAAATACTATGAAGAAAAAATTGATGAAAATAAACATGATCCCAGAGCAATGTGGAAATCACTAAAAGAATTGGTAGGTGGAAGAAGAAATCAAAGTATTTGAAGGGAAAAACGTGAATTCCGACGATGAAATTTCAAACGCATTCAATTCATTTTTTATCAATAGCATTAATAATATTGTTGAAAACATCACCCCAGTAAACGATTTCGATGATACAGTAAGAAAGATTCCTGAATTTGTAAATACATTTCTTTCATTTAAAAACATCTCTATGCAGGAATTAAAAAATATTGTTTCATCGTTGAAAGAGAACTCGTGTGACAAAGATGGAATCAATTGTACCATAATCAAACTAGCTTTTGTCATCATTAGGAATAGATTTCTTGATGTAATAAATTCATCTTTGAAAACTGGGGTTTTTCCTGATGTATGGAAAATATCTACAGTGATTCCGATTCCAAAAGTACCTAATACACAATTTGCAGCTCAACATCGCCCAATCAATACATTACCAATAATTGAAAAATTGTTGGGCTTGCCGTCAAAGATCAACTTCTTGAATTCATCAGTTCAAATGAAATACTTATCGAACAACAATCAGGTTTTAGGAAATGTCACTCGTGTGAAACGGCTCTTCAGTTTTTGATATCCAAATGGAAAACTGATATTCATGATAAGAAAATCATCGGGGTGGTTTTCCTGGACTCACAGAAACTATAAATAGAGATTTACTTTTGAAGAAATTGGACAAATATGGAATAGGCGGAAAGGTTCTCGAATGGTTTCAGAGCTATCTACAGAATAGAGAACAACTTGTTGAATACAATAACACTTACTCAAATAGGGAAAAGGTCATGCATGGAGTACCACAAGGATCGGTACTGGGACCAATATTATTTATTTTATTCATAAATGACATTATACATCACGTCCAGAATTGTAAGCTGAAACTATTTGCGGATGATACCTTGCTTTACTTCTCTGACAAGAAAGAGGATGTGGAGAAATTCTTGAATGAATATCTTGAGAATATATTCACCTGGATCTGTGACAATGGACTCGAAATTAATGTTACAAAGACGAAATTCATGATTATATCTTCGAAAGCAAATTCAAAAATGATCCAGGAAAATAAAATTAAATTCAATATTCTGATAAACGGAGAAATCATTGAAGAAGTGAAAATGTTCAAGTATTTGGGAGTGATCATTGATAATCAACTGAATTTTAACAGTCATTGTGGATACATTAAAAAGAAAATTGCGCGAAAAATAGGTTTCATGTACAGGCTTGGTGATAAAGTATCTCATTTCACGAAATTAACAATTTACAAGTCAATAATTTCACCTCATATTGATTATTGTGGTACTTTACTGAGTTTCTTGAGCAACGAACAGATTAATACACTGCAAAAAGTCCAAAATCGTGCAATGAGAGCTATCTTGGGTTGTAAAAGACGCACACCAGTCACAACAATGCTGAACACATTGCAATTAATGAATATCAAGCAAAGAGTTTCATATAATACACTTATTTTTGTTTATAAATTGAAAAATAACATGTTGCCTTTGTATTTATCAAGTGAGCTATATTATGTTCAAGATGTACATTGTCACAATAACAGAAGACAAGCAGCGAATGATTTCTATATAAATTCAGTAAATATTGTCTGTGATACTTTATATACAAAAGGTCTGGTATTGTTCAATAATTTGCCCTGTGCACCAAAAATTGTGAACAGCTTTTTCACTTTTCAATTATGTTCTCCAGGCATGAAACTGAATCGCTACGTGAAGATGAATATAAAAATATTGAAGTTAATGTTATATCTCCATCCTGCCAGATGAATTCAGAATTTCGTTACGTGAAATCCTATAGGTATAGTGTTACTCCAGAACGATGGAAAAGTTTATTAAACTTTAGTCATTATTCTCATGCTGAGCATTTATAAAGAACGAGGAACATAAGAAACACCTGATGTCCTTTAATAGGTAAATGAGAGGAGAGATTATATTATACACTATATTATAATTTTCATCATTATACGTAGCTGCTTTACTGGAAATATCTAATATCTTCAATATCTCTTTTATGAAAATTCTGGATGGAAAATTACTCCAAAATATTCACTAATGGACTGCTTCATCAAACGCATTTTCATGAATAATAGTGCCTTCATCAGGTATTCTTATTAATAAACACTATATTTATTCCCATTATACAGGGTTTCCCTGAGAGGCTTGCACAAAAGGATATCATAGACTACTGAGACCAAAGTGAGATGATTGAACTAAACAAACTTCTATATCAGAACGCTCCGTTTAGCCGCTACAGGGCGTCGAAATTGAATTTTATCATTTTATTTTTTCGTATATTTCAATATTGTCTATGAATAGTGTTCTAAAAATCTGTGAACACACTGAAAAGCCTATCGAGAATAGAAAATAATCCAATCCATTCTAATTAACAGACAAGATATTACATATTTGGAGTACTGTCGATCAAAATATTGTCAGCTTTCTTGAATGTTTGTGATATCTAATCGGCTCGCAGGTTAATTGACCAAATAAAATGTGATGGACCGCTGATACTTCTCGAAATTCGAAAGACAAGGAGTTACATAATAATAAGAATGAAAAAATAATAATTCAATTTCGACGCCCTGTATAGCGGCTAAACGGGGAGATTTGGTATAGAGGTAAGTTTGGGTCATAAATCTCACTTTGGTCTCAGGAGTTCATAGTATTATTTTGTACAGACCTTTCAGGAACACCGTGTGTAAGAAACGTTCTATAGGAATTGATTTCTGAAAGTGGCCTCAGTACGAGCTAGTTTCATTGATATGAATCCCTTTTTTTTTATTTTCTTTCAACCCATTCAAAAAGTGACAGAGTGTTGCAATATTTCCCCAAATATTCAGAGTATACAAATATATCCATATTTTTTCGATGAAATGCGCTGTATAATTTGATAGATCAGTAGCAGCAGTGTAAAAGGAATACTCTTCGAAGTATATCCAAGCTTTCGGAAATGTTTATTTCCATCATCAGGAATACTACAATGATTAGAGAGTGTAAATACATTGGAAAACCACTATGGCCATGCCTTGTCTAGCTTACGCTATTCTAACTTAACATTTATCTCACAATAAAAAGGGACTATTGATTTTTTAAACATATGGTGACTGAATCACATATATTAATACTTGATCACATACCTAATTACATCAATATATTTTGAATTTAGAGAACACCGTTGCTCCCACAGCACGAGAGATGGACACTGGTTCTGTGTCTATAGTTATAATCTTGCCATGCTGTCCTGTGCTCCCGTGTTCAGTATTCTGGCCTTTCTCCATTGTTGCTACCTCGGCCTTCTCACCAACTCATTTCGTAGGTTAGGTTAGTAGTTAAGCACCTTCACGCAGGTGATTCGAAACAAGTCACATGAGTCTTGTTTCCACAGAAATGGATGCTCTTACACATAAAAATTCCGTATATTGTGTTCAAGAATATTTTGGGAATATTACTGTCAGGTTTTATCTATGGAATGTGTTCAACTTGAATCAGAGGATTTTTTTCATTCGTGTATATTACTCTACAAAATCATGTTATTTTGTCGTGATCTATTTTTTCACCAATGAAATATTTCATTCTGATATTGAATGATGAACTGAAATTATCAGGAAATGATAATGATAATACATCAATCAGGTAAGTCGACTATCATTTTGATTCGATTTGATTATGACAAAATATCATCTTGTCCGAGTTGATGAGTATAATAATCATCTCTGAAATAATAAAGTGTACGCGTACCCACTGTTCAGTTGTATGTACTCCAATTGACCCTGCCTCCGAATAGGGTTATCATATAGAAAGCAATACAATAGATGCATTCAGTAATCTGTAACACCACCGTAGATTCCGAACATGATTTGGCAGCTCATAGAAGACGAACGAACATGCTGGTCGAGAATGCAGTCAACTCGAGAAGGTTTTCGGAGAGGCCTATTAGGTATTTATAGTTTGGTTACTTACGGTTGATATCCAGAGTTACCGCGCTAGATATTGGCGCCACTAAGTTGTTGTTGGATGCTTGACAGGTGAACACGGTGTGTAGATGCTTTCTCTCTAGTTTCTCGATGTGAAGAATGTTGCGGACTCTCCTTTCTGAGAGATACTCAAAAGAGTCGTCTAGAAGCGCGTTTTCTTGCCACCATGTTACTTTTGGTGGGGGACGACCTGAGAGACAAAAGCACTTGAATAAAGAAATATATTGTATCTCGAAGTGAAGCGTATAGACGAAAGCAGTATGAGAACTCCCTATCATTATTTCCCTTTGAATATTTCTGATTCATTCTTGACTTCATTTCTCATAATGATGAGAGAACTCCTACTTTTATCGATTCATATTTTGGATTGAAAGACATAGATGAAGTCAATATAACATCTAAATAACTCATTCAAAAGTGTATATTCATTGTACTAAACCTTGCTGCACTTCATATATTTATTCGTACAAATCACAGAATTATCTCCACAACGTTGAACAATCGATGATTATTCATTGAACATGCATGATTCTGACAATCAAGTGTTCATCATCAGCCAGTGGTCGTTACAAATCGAAAGCCCTAGAATATGATCAGATATTATAAACTGATGAATTAAAGAAAATCACTCATGTGATAAGAAGAAAGATAATTCGAGATCAGTAATCCTTATAAGGAGGTTATTTCATGAACCATTCCAGGGCCAGGTTATTATAAAGGTTCTGTGTTGTTATGATATCACAATGATGTAGGAGTAAAAAAAAATCGAAAAACTTCATAAAACAAATGACGCAAATGGCGATCCACAAATCATAAGCTTCCTCGTGACACCCACGACAGCGACAAGACTGTGAATAGTGATTGAGGCATTCCCAAGTATATGCAGATGACTTGGGAACGATGACCTAAGACCAGTCGGCAAACCAGCTAGGAATTATGGAAGCCCTCAATTAAGTGGAACAGTGGTGTTTCACCAGTGGATTGAGAGTCAATCCAGAAAACTTGGTATCATTCACTGAGAAATGCAAAACAGGAACACTTCCTGAGATATTTCTCCCGAGAATGTGTCTTGAATACAGACGCTCATCAAAGTACCTTGAAGTAACAATAGACTCCAAGCTCACTTGGGATGAGCACATTGCAAACCACACTAAGAAAGCTATATGCTGCTTCTAGGCATGCAGACCAGCCTTTGGAAAAACATGGGGTCTTACAACTAAGACCCTCCACTGGATATACACCGCATCAATTAGCCCAGCACTTACGTACTAGTCCATTGTATGGTGGATCCGTACCAATAAAGACAAGACCAGTAGAGAACTGGATGAAGTCCAGAGAGTAGCCTGTCTATAAATAGCAGGTACTCTAAGGACAACTCCTATCAGAGCTCTTGAAGCTCTGTCAGGTCTGCCGCCTCTACACCTGTTCATACAACACCAAGTCATGAGAACTTCTAATCGACACAACCGCACAAACCAGTGGGTCGAAACAGAAGCAGATCATGAACGCTCCCTCACAATGGATGAGGCATAGGAAAACTGACGCAATACCTCGCTTGCCTCTTCCCAATGAGTCAATCTGGTACACATATGGTTCTCAATTTGGAGGCAGTTCTGGTGCAGGGGTAGACAATGGAAAAAGAAATAATGATTCCTTAAGGCGAATATACCTCAGAGTTCCAGGCTGAAGTTCTTGCAATACTTACCTGTGTCCATGAAAATCTGATTATGAGAGGTTGTACACCAATCACTTTATGCTCGGACAGCAAAGCTGCAATACTAACTGTGCAATCCAGTAGGATCACAGCCAATTTATTGTCCGAGTGCAGTAAGGCCTTGAGGAACCTGGAAAACCAAGGAAAGTCAGCCTCATGTGGGTCCTGGACACTCATAGGTACCCGGAAAAAAGACCAAGATCGGTTCAGGACGGACCCCAGTAGGAATGGAACCAATCTCGGAAATACCAAACAATCTGACATTTTTCTCCATAGAGGGACAGCTGTCGAAGCATTTGATCATCACAAGAAACACCAGGAATGAGACAATCGAAGCTCCATGTATAGAAACCTTCGAAGAGGCTCACGATAAAAGTTTGCGACGCAGTTGAGTACCACCATATTTTTTGGATAATAAGAGCTGTTTCGGCATTATGACCACTTTCAGCGACGTGTAGTTATTTCGGGAATTGGATAACTTCCGGCAATTTGACGTATTGACTACTTTTGGCGATGAGTCCTTGAAGTCCTCAAGCAGTAGACCTAACCTAACCTAACCTAACCTAACCTAACCTGAGTGAGTGAATTAGAATTTATATTCGAAATTATGAAATATACTCAGAGTGTGGATAAGTTCTTTTTGACTCACCACCGTCTCTCTACTTCGCTCTCACATGGGGCATAGGACCGTTCATAATAACCTGACCCTCTACCGATGTTAGACATAACCTTATCATGAGTTCAAGCAAGTTTCACTCATTACTTATATTGTTTTTTTGTGAGGATTACCAGCCAATATGAACAGTCGATTATCCGTAACATATTCCTTTGTTTTTTGGTATTAAACGTTGTAGAGGATATTTTGTGTTTTCTGATCATTCATAAATAATACCTTACATAAGATCGAATGTACTATTTTTTATAGATACAAACATGTCATCATTTTGTATAAGAAAGATGCCATTTCGAGATATGAATCACTGAATACAATTTTTCGATGTGACCTTATAAGAATGACGATTGAGAAGTGCTGACGCCACATGTACCAGAGTATTATTGAAACGGCCTATATCCAGACCAGAATGTAACATAAGGTGGTTATTTCCGCAGAGCACGAAAGAGGATTATTGTATTATCTTACCTCCTGTTGCGACACATGTTATATTAATGGAGGATCCTTCATTATAGGGTCCGAGGATGTAGTCCGGTATGTGAAGCCCGGTTTCATCTAAGACGCTTAGCTTTTCCGGAGGAACTGAAACAAAAATGAATAATTCTTGTTAGGATGATCCCTCTCAATTGAGAACCTCATTTTCAGTGGCGTGGCGTGATCTCCGTACCTGAGGATACTGCGCAAAGGGAGAATAATTTCCTCAATTGAAACAAGAGATTCAAGATTTTGGTTCGATCATAATATAAACTTGAACTGATATGTTCGTAATATTTAAAAAAACGCTTCGTTTTGTGTAACGGTGGGAATTTGAATCTTTGTTCGATGGAATATGAGAGGATCAGCTGTGGAAAAACATGACATTCCACATAACTGGAACGGATAACTGAAAATGATCCACAAGGAAGGGCCAATTGATGATTCACAAAATTTCAAAGGAATAGCACTCATAATTCGCCCTGAAAAGATATTCTCCAGTCAGAAGATCCCAAAATGCTACCGGAAACCCAATAAAGTTAAGGAACCAATAGAGGGTGTTTCGATAATATATTTGTCTCAATTTCAAAAGTGTACAATCTTCTCTACATTCATCGACTACGAACACGCGTTTGATTCTATCAATCATCTGCTTCTTTGGCAGAAGATTTTCAGCATGGCTGTGAGTTCAATACTAATATATATAATTAGCAATATCTATAAACATGCTGCCACCATGGACTCACTAGACCATTCGATATCACTACAGGGGTCTTACAGGGTGAATTTCTGAGCCGTCTCTTGTTCTCTTTATTCTTGGCAGTCTGCCAATCAATGCTGCGCGAGGTATTAATATATATGATAGAGCTGACCTACTGATACTTACCTATGCAGATAATTAGCTGATTCACACATTGATCATAGCAGGAAACTAAGGCTATTTTTTTATGTTCTGGTTCCCACGAAAAGGGATATCCTGTACCAAGGGAATTAATGAAGGAATTGGTGTTCTTCTTAAATTTCTGGAGGTTATTATGATCAGAGATTCATCAAGTCAAGTAGCTTGATATTTTAACAAACTACTTGACTTGACTTGGAAATCAAGCTCGTGGCAAATTACGTACTTGACTTGACTTGAATTTGAGATATTTATTACTTGACTTGAAATCAAGCTACTTGAAAATACTTGATCTTGATACGCACGAGTCGCACGGCGTATATTTCTGCAAGCACGCTCACGCTAAGACAAAATACGGGGGTTCCCCGAGATCCGAGCTGACTGAATCGATCGCGCAGTCAGTCTTACGATGCCATTTTCATTTCATCAGTTATATACAGGGTGACTCACGGTCGATGGTAGGTTAGACGTTCACGTTTATGATAGGAACGCAACGCAGGATTTTTCTGAAAATTTCGCATCTCACATTTCATCAGCGGTACTATCGATCTAATATATTTTCAAAATCACGACGTTGCCGCTTCTATGGAAAAGTAGGAACCAATTTGTTATTTCGAATTGAACACCCTGTATTTTATTGCATTTTCAGATTCTCCTTGAAGAGTTGATTTCATCGATACATCACACTCGGGGTATAGCGGAAAAGATTATGGAGATATAGAGTGCGAAAAATCGAGATTTTTCAACTTCAGGAATGTTTTGTGTATGCGAAATTTTCAGAAAAATCCCGCGTCGCGTTCTCCATAAACGTCTAACCTATAACATCGACCGTGAGTCACGCTGTATAGATACACAATAAAACTGCTGAAAATCAAGTAGCTTGATAGAACTACTTGATTTTTCAAGTACTTGATAAATAGTTACTTGACTTGACTTGACATTAAAAAACTTTCGCTTGACTTGAACTTGACTTGATTTCAAGTCAAGTCAAGTCAAGTAGCTTGAATATCAAGTCAAGCCGTGAATCTCTGATTATGATCAATATCTACTCACAGTCGTTCCTGACGAATCAAAAATTCTTCCATTTTCAAAAGGGGGATCCCGAAGCCATACCTTCAATTTCATGTATAAAACTCACCGCATTGAAGTTTTCAATGAGTTTGTCTACCTAGGTGTTACATTCACTAGCTCATGTCTCTTTCGCAATATGTCTGCTATCAGGTCCGAAGAGACACAGCAGCCATTGGACAAATAATTGTACTTATGGCCAAATCAAAAATGGAATCATGGACTCCCAGAAACCACCTCTTTGACTCACTTTTCGTGAGTATTTCGACAAATTGTATCTTGGTCTAGAGTGTCAGGTTCAGTGATGTACATTACAACCACAGATTCTGCTCTCAGGCTTGAGACAAACAGAGGGAAACTGTCATATGTGACATTCTTAACAGACCCTCAATTAATTCATTTATTTCTGACAGTGACATTATAAGCTTATATCGTCATAGTTACGATATCTATAATGAGGGTCATAACTCCCTTGGGATGTTATAGATGCTATAATTCCCTCTAGCTAAAATTAAATAAGAAATGCATAGCAACAACCACGCAATAACGTAGCAATAAGGAATCTCCTATTCGCGGTAGTCAAGATCATCATCTGACGTTCTGATGACATTGAAACTATACGGAAAAACATGTCTAACTTCCAATCGGGAAGGTATCTAATGAATGAAATCAGTCAGAAATAAAATTATCTATGTATCACGGGAATTATAGAGCCTTAATAACCTCTGGCAATTGCTGTCCCTCGGGCCAGAGGCCCTCGGGACGCAAACTTTGCCATCGGTAATTAAGGCCCCTTATAATTCCCTTAATACATAAATAACTATAATCCTCTGGATATGAAGAACCAATGACTATCGAAAATATACTTCTCACGCCAACTCGAATATATGTGGATTATCACTGAGCGCGACATCAAAACAAACTATAAGAAGTCGAGAAAACCTAATTAGCCTGATCTGAATTTCTGGCATTCTACATTCATTCCATTAATATGCCTAGAACCAATACCTCTACCTCAGAGTCCCAATACACATAGTCCGCACGATCGCACAACTGACATTATGCAACCAGCACCAGTTTAAATTCACAGTCGAAGACTTTCACTAACCGCATTAAGCAAAAGAATATCAGCTCAATATATCTGAGGAACAGTCCACCATCTATTATGTGAATGCCCTATACAAGGTGTTTTTTATTCCGATGTTAATAATTCGAGGACGTATTATTGGTATTAAAATAAGACTTCTTCCTTTTATAAACATGTGTCATCAAATGCTTTCCCCCCTCCAAACTACAGCTACTTGAAGATGGCAAGAATAGGATATCTAAAATTATGATCATTATAACGGATCAAGTGCAAGTATTCCAGTACTGCATTTTTCTGGAATAACAGTCTCAAATGTGTTCCGACATGCGACATACGATCACTTCCGTATGCAATCCCTTAACCCATTGGGTTGGAGAACGATTTCATGTCTCCTTGCATGAAAAAAATGCAAGAGACCGAATTCTTACATTTTTGTATGGCGCACAAGATCTTATTCAAAGTTAGAGTTGTTGAACACTCATGATATGAATTTGAAAATAGCATTTCATCTGTTATCGGATCTGAATTAACATAATAAGAAAATGAAGTGAGGAACGAAAACATGCCTCAGATAATAAAGTCCTCTATAATACGAATCAGAGTACATTGGAGGAAGGAAAATAATCAGATGGGTGTTGATTGAAAAATCGGAAACACTTTTCAATCCCCAATATTCATTCATCAAATATCGAACGATTTGTAACAATGCCATGGAAAGGACCTGCAATAATAGGAGTCATGGGAATTTGTTCGGAAGCGAGATAAATAGCTGGATCGGGATGAGAAATCGTAGTGAGTTCAGGCAGTTGAAAATCTAACGTAGATCGATAATTTAAAGTGAACGTTCTCCAATCGCTCAATTCTAAATAACTTCCACAGGAAACTGTTGCGAGTTGAAGAACATAGGCTATGTCGAGTCATTCGTTCGACGACAGTGGTGATGCCAGCCCAAGTAACATTTTAATTGCCTTCGATAAGACTTTGAAGAGGTTATGTGAGCGCAAATGATAGCTCTAATTTGTTCTGCCGTTTTATGAATGCCCTGCAGAAAGCAGATTGGCCTGCATGTCCATCATATTATAACATAACAATTTTGTATTCAGCTCACTTCGATTTTAAATGTCATTGAAATTCTTCATCAGGACTATTTTCTCTAAACAACCATCTTAAAACACTTAAATTTCATTATTGTCTCGAATTTGACCAAGAGGTTCTGAACAGATACTATGAAAATACCTCATGAAGCAAACATAAAACCAAATTTACGCTAAGCCAATTAGGATTTGACTGAGGCAATAATGAAACCTATGGCATTATTGTAGCTATGTGGAAATAATTATCAGAACCTATTAGCCACAATTAATTCATCGAAGTAAATCATAAAATCTATAGGATTTATCAAGTTTTTTGTAGAACTGTGTTAAACCCAAATCCCATATTATAAATGTTCATATTTTTTCACTCACAACGACCCACGTTGAAATGAACTCACAAGAAAATAAATGTTGTAAAATTGAAGAAAATGGCAACTTCAAGCGAAAATATAAAAAAAATTACCTAAGAATCGAAAATCAAGTCGTAAGAGCAACATTGAATCGGAATTCTCAAGCCCAAGCAATTTCAAACACTGTGTCTTTCAATTTATCCAAACTGAAACCACCAAATAGCAAGAATTCATCAGGACCTGATGTTCATGAAGTACCATCAACGAGTCAGAACGTAATGGAAAATACTTCTGATATATCTGAATGGAAACAAGGAAGTGAGAGAAAGATGACAACAGTTTTTCCACAAATTATGTCAGATTGCGAGCATGAATTTATGAGAATGGACCATTCAACACAATATCAGGCAAACTGCCCTGAAAGATTCAATTCAATCGAAAAATTCCTATTTTCCTAAGTGTAGTTTGTTTCTTGTCTTCCTACTCAAAACCAATCACAAAATTCACAAATTGAACACTGTGAATAACAAAAGTGGGGTTATGTTAATCATGTTGATGACGTTCTTCTACTTTTTGCCACACTACCCAATGAGCACTAGCCAGAATGTTCT